GGCACGCTAACCACTGGGCCGTGCGCGGTCCAAGTGAGGAAAGTAACATTAGTCTAGTTAATCGTTTTAAAAGCAGCGAAGACATTCTTTGAAGATAATAATAATTATAATAAAACACATGGAACTTTACATCACGCAAAACACCTAATAATCGAATCTCAAGGGATGTGTACATCTTAGTTCCAGTTCACACAGTTAAGCTTCATCTCTGTGTATGACAGACTCAACTAAAACTTAGATAACTTTGGTTTGTTTATTTGTACGAATAAATAGTTTTAATTTTAAAATGAAACCGTTGTATAATAAAGCATCACTTTACCGCGAGGACGTCACGTGATAACCTATGAACTTATTGATCAAGTCCGATTACGATGGGGTATTCTCCGATTGCCAACCAATATTTCAAAAGTACTTATCTAAAATATTCTGTATTTATATGCCAGAGAGCCTTTCATCCCTGGAGACTCGTGTATGATTTTAAGAAATGACGTCTCAAATATGTTACTTAATTACCACGTTTTGCAGTAGTTACAGTTATTGGTGAAAAAGTTTCCATTATAGGCCCTGGATAGTAAACTGAATGTCAAGTGGCATAGTCAGAGAAGACGGATTTTCTGTCATTCCATATTTGTATCATCCAGAGGTGATACACGTACCAACAATTATGTTGAATAAGCATATATATGATTAAAATCTGGAGTGAGGATTTTTAGCTTTGTGCTAATGGAAGGTTATATAGTCGAGTGCCGTTCCAGGGACCGTACTCTAATTATCGGAGAAAAAGGTGTGTCGTGGTTATTTATTTTCCTATTGGTTGGCAGGCCGGTAGATGAACAACCCAGCTTTATAAGAATGATCTAAAACGGAAACGTGAGGTTTATCAGAAGTAAATAATGAAAAAAACAAAACCAAAACTGACCAAACCACGAGAAAAACAAACAAAATAAATGGCGTCCTATATATATATTATATATAATAGTCTATTATTCGTATGTTCAGGTTTTGTTTTAACGTTTACAGTGCAAGCTATTAAAAGATGTTGTTAGGTAATAGAGAACTGTTCATTTTTATAGGTACTCCGTAAACTATACGTATCTAATGCATACAGACGATGAAATCCAGTTTAAAAATTGTAGAAAACTCGTTGTGTAATGCTTTTATTGAATATATCAATAATGTTAGACTAGGCGGTTGATGATCCCTTTAATTAAAACCTTTATTTTGCTTTTTACCATAGTCTATATTTCTTCTCCACCTCACGAAACTTGCCATTAACTACGTTATTATTACTTTATTGTGTGTGTGTGTCTTTTAAACATAACCGCTTTGCATGCCCTTATAAATGTACATGAAATGTCCTAAACTTTTTCTTCTCTTTGTATAATAAAGTAAATAACATTGTATCTTCCAGTGGACTTTGCCTTAGGTTGCTGAAATTGATATGTCATCTATATAATAATATCCTGTTGCGACGAGGTTTTTGTGGAGACTTCTCTTCGGCAGATTAAAAATAAGTACTTGTTTGTAATGCTCCAGCCACCCACGATCAAAACTGTGATGGACGGTAAGTGTTTTCATGCTTCTTTAGGCCTAGAAGAGTCTTAACAAATTACTGAGTACCATAAGTAACGGAGAGCTGGCATTCCACACCTACCAACATTAACGTGGATTTCAATGATTACATTTTTAATGATGTAATGTTACTTGCCTGTTCTAGAGATATCACACGTCCTAGAGGTTGTATGTATTTATGTGTAAATGTCTTTTGAAACATTACATATTTTGAACTACCTTCAAGATATTTTAAAGCTGGACGTATACTCAAGCAATAGTTATTTTGTTTTATTTTTTTGCATCAGTGTCGTACAATGAAAGGCCTTGTTATAAAAGTTGACACTAGTGCATGTATCCCCAGATTCTCATAAGTGGGACCAGTAATAACCGTTGATGACGTCTGGTGTTAGTTATCCGTGCGTGGGAAGACTGAAAAGTTAGTGCCAAACCGCAAATATGTACAGAAACATGTTTGTCTGAAACTATGGTGACGAAACCAGGAAAGATATTCTTGTATGTATAAAACTTATTATGAAATTAAAGTCTTGGTAGTTGCATGCTTTATTATTTTCAAACAACCATTTGTTCAAACTTACTTGAACTTGAGAAAATAACTGTTTTTAAACACCTATAAAAATGAAACCAATTTTTAGCTCGTTTATCGCTGTGTGTATATGGAAATGAGGTATCGTGTTACCAAAACAATATTATTTTAGTTTGGTTTTGTTTCGCGCAAAACTGCACAAGATTTATCTACGATAGCAGCTCCTAATTTTGAATTGATAGACAGACAGAAGACAGTTAGTCAACAGTACAAACCGCCAACTTTCGGACTTTTCTAATCAAATAATGGGATTTGATTGTCATTCTTATAATACAACAGGACACAAACTATGGAACTTCGGATTCACACTCCGACATGCTATCCATTGGGCCACGCTCGGCCCAACCACAGTTATGAAATTTTCCTAAAAAAAAAGCAAAAACTGTGACTACGAGGTATTCAGGCCAACCACTCTTCGACTGGACTTAGACAACAAACGTAGGGTTAGAATATTATACTTTAATATATATCTATAATAATAAAGAGGGGGGGGGGAGTTGGTCTGTGTGTGGCCGCCATAGCTCCAAGAGGAAAGAAATTAGAAATCTGAAATTTTGCACCCGTACTAAGTCGACCCTGAGGGTGTGCACCCAGGTATTATTAATTAACTTATCCACGTGCGTGCGCAACTTTTTAATGAGGCAAGCTAGCGAAAAACCACATAGAAAAGAAGTGGTTCCTTTTCTCACAAATAGAAATCACAGACAGACAGATATATATCTATGCAATATTAGCATTTCTGCGCATATTAAGGAAAATAGTAACAATTCATAACAGAGGAAATTGTACCTTATAAATTTAATAGTTATCTATAACGTGGAAATTGATTATATGTTAATAAGAAGTTAACACACCTATATAAATGCAAGTAAGTACCGGGCCATAAGTACTGAAAGAAATTAGATAGATATTATCGAAATATCATACATATACCACGACAATTAACACCTCTACTTATACTAAAAACAGCCTATTAAAAAGTTCGTTAATTCTTCGCCTAGAAAGCACCAAGTGATTTCTATATTTAAACTTCGACCTCTTCAATTTAGAAAGAGTAAGCGACAGTTTTACTTAGTAAAGAAACTATTGAGCATGTCTCCTAGGGAGGAGCAATGAATATCTTCATTTAATAAAGAAGTTCGCGATATCTTTTTATAACAAGAAGTAAAGGATATCTTCACTTAGTAAAGGAGTTCGTGATATCTTTCATAACAAGTAAAATATATCTTTACTTAGTAAAGATGTTCGTGATATCTTTTCATAACAAGAAGTAAAATATATCTTCACTTAGCAAAGAAGCTCGCGATATCTTTTCATACCAAGAAGTAAAAGATATCTTCACTTAGTAAAGAAGTTCGTGATATCTTTTCATAACAAGAAGTAAAAGATAACTTCACTTAGTAAAGATGTTCGTGATATCTTTTCATAACAAGAAGTAAAAGATATCTTCTCTTAGTAAAGAAGAAAAAAAAAGGCCGTGAAATCTTCTTTGGGAAAGAGCATTGGTATATTTGCTTAGTGTTCAATATTTCATTTGAGTCACGTGATCTGCTGAGAAGAGCAACTACTATGTTTGTGAGTTGTCCACCGACAGCTCATTATCACATTCTATTACTTAAAAAAACTATTTTTGTTCTTTAGCGAAATATCTTACATTTTAATTCTACTTCTTTTTTTTTGATTAGTGAATCTTGGGTAGAAATCATGACGACTTTTTTTACAGAGCAGTTATTCGGGCGCAAGTTTACGGGTGACTCATTTCAACCATTGCCGTGTTTATGAATAACATGGTTTAAATTTAATGTTGGGAATTTGAATAAAAACGTATAGTTCGACTGGGTGATATTAATTTTAACCCAAATTAGTTAACGAGTAAAGGTAAACGTAGAAAGAGCCTGATTTTCTGAAACAAAAATCTAGGTTTGAGTAGTATAGGTCGTGTAAGATGAGAGATTCTGTATTATAGTTAGCGCCCGTTTACTCCGAATAGGAATGGCTTCACAAACGTAACAGTTGTGATAACTTGATTCACTAAGAATGTTTATACAGCTGAGATTCATCTATTATCCTTAATCACGCCGAGCATTATTGAAGTCGTAAATATCACGTAAATTTACGGAGGTTATGTTTTCACCTCTGTGTGTTTCTCAGCAAGATTTCTCGAAAACGGTTGAATGGATTTGGACGAAAGTACGTTTACGTTTATATTATGATCAAACTTAGAAATGATTATTTCTGGAGGATCAACGTCACGAAAATCCAAAATATCCCTGTCTGTTAACACGGGGACCGATTTTTCACACTATTTTTGCTCTATAACTCAGTCAAAAATGATGGGATTTTGGCAAAGCTTGGTGTACATATGTAGAATAAAAACTTAATTTAATATTTGAAAGCACAAGGTGATTATTTAATAAAAACGGAATGTCAGAGAACTATAGCTATTAATTGGGTTATAAATGTGTAAAGTTACAACATTTTATTATCTTAAAACAGCCTATAAACGAATAAAGCAGCAGTCACTGTATTGAAAAATTCCCAACGTTTCTAAATCACTCTTTGTTCGACATTCGTTTTTAGAAAAGAATAAGAAACGTCTTTTTTTCCTTTGAGTTTCAACGAGTAAGAAGAATTGAAAACGAAACGCTCTCTGAAGAAACGATAACGTTTCTATTTTTTTATGCTTGATACAAATCAGTTATTTTTATGGTTCAAATGCATGACAGCTTAATCTTATAGGCGTTGATTGTACATCCGACAACAAGTTCAAGAACTGTTGCTGCAAAAACGCGCTCCGTACTTGGGGCTGTAGCTATAAGAGTGACGGTCAGACAAGAGTCGGCGGTGAGTACTCTAGTCTTTCAGTTCAAAATTAGGGGAGGCTATGCGCAGATAGTTCTTGCGTAGTCTTGCACGAAATTCGGAAACTAGATGGACACTCAGTAGAGCGCACACCTCTGTCACGCAGCGTTGATCATATTCGGCTCTCAAAAAATACGAAAATGTGTCCGTAAGTCCGTCGTTTTTAGCAGGACAACGAGGATTACTGTTTAAAGGTCTAGGCACTCGACTACGTTAATATCCGACATAGTTACAAAAGTTCTTCTGCTTCCCACCAGATGGCGCCAGACCGTTGGGCTACAGACACTAACAGGTCATGCTGACCCTGGAGGAATGTATAACAAAGGAAGCCGCACCAGTTGAGAGCACGCTTGAAATCAGAGAGGCATCCTTGAATGAAGGTCACAAGTGTTATTGTCCCTACATATCAAATCCAAAACATAATCATTTAACCACTAAACCATAGGTAGTTAGTTATGTCTATAGCTATCAAATGACAGCCAGTGTTTAGACCACTTAGATGTTTCCCATAATACTTTATTATTCTTATTAAAAGCAAACAATCTATCTCAATGATTTGAATATTGTATCAATTTATAACATTCCAGTTGATAAAATTTTTATTTAGACGTTTGAAAACAGATCTATTGGTTAAAATCACAATACATATAAAATAGGAACTAGTGAAAAAACATTAAAAAGTAGAGATCTATTAGTCACATAAAGTAATTCACATGATTCGAGTAAATATCATTTGCTTGGTATATTTATTGTTATAAGCTCTTTTTTTTTAATTTAGAGATTTGTATTACTGTTTGGTAAGTAGGAAGTTTGGCGTAATGTGATAAGCGTGTCTTGTTGACTAGATCCTTTTTGAAAGTTTAGGAAACGATTAGAACAGCATAAAACACGAGTTAGGACAGAGTAGTTTATTATTTATTATTGAATCGATCAGTAACTACTTTTTTTTTGTTTACTGAATAATTCAAAATAATCCACCAAACAATATAAACCGCCACAACACTGGTGTCAAGGGTGTGATTATTTTGGTAAAAAAAAAGCAAGGCTCAACCTCAAAATCATGAAATGTGCTCAAATAAAGACTGATTTTTTTATTGAAATGGTAAAACATTGGAAAAAATATCAGTCAGAAACAAACGGGAATTTAACATAGGAATAACAAGAAAGATACATAATATTTAGAGAAGAATTACAAACAAAACTCGATTTAATCATATTATTGGAGAAGCCATAGCAAGGGAATCGAATCTCATCTCTTTTTACAAAAATAATACATTAAAATGTATGATCAAAGTTCCTGGTTTTGAATAAAGTAATGACCCAGACTGTATTTTCTTAAGACTCTTTGAAAGGTTAACTATTTTTCTATTCTTAGCATCAAGATTAGCTCATTCCTTCCTAATCTTTCTTTGTTTGATGTTTCATTTCATTCATTTTCTTTTTGGCTACTTCAGATGGTCTTTGACTGTGCCTATGTCATCTAAATTAAATTAAATCATATTTAATTCTTTGTTTGTAAACATTGAGCATATCTACCTACTTCTAATAATGTCCTTGTTATAGGTATTTCTGGAACTTTTCCACCACCTACATCAACTTCATCTTTCACTATTCATTCCTATTAGACTAAAGCTAAGTAGATAATCATATTCAAGAGAATCTGGTCAGTTTGTAATGTAACTCCAATCAATTAAATTCTTAATTAAACAACTAAATACACCATCCAGGATTATGATATTATAAGATCAAATAGTGTAAAAACATTAACTCTCTCTGATGGAGGTCTGGAATAATTTAAAAGGATTAATTAGATAAATGCTTTCTCAAAATGAAAGAAGAAACCCCCAAATAAAATGTGTTTCAATTGCAACATATAAAGGAATCTTACTATGAAATGTAGACAACATCCTTTACAAAATACAAACTGCTCCTATAGAATGGAACGAAAAGGAAGCTGTTATAAGTGTGGAAAACATGGACATTACATCTGAGGCTGTGTTGAATCAATCATTGATAATAAATCAAGGAGAAGATATCCTGATGATGAGAGTACTCCATATGCTCCAACTGGGATAAGGAGTGTATTATTTATAGGAATCAATTCATGATTCAGCAGGTTCGTTGATGGGAAGCTTTGCAACATGTTGATCAACACTGGCTCTACACTTATCGTTGGTGAGCTTGATGTAGCAATGGAATTTGGGACTTTGTCTTCACAGATAAAGCAAGGAGTTGGTTTGATGCAAATAGTAAGTAGTCATAAACTTCCAGCAAGTGGAAAGTTGGAAGTCACTCCTCTTATGGTGAAAATCTTTTATGCACTATTAACTTCCGATTAAAGCAAGCTATTTACTTAGAGCGAAACTAAACATCAGCCTGGCAATCGGTATAGCTAATCTATATAAATTTAATAGTACTGTTTGTTGTCTGTTGTATGTCTATGTGACTATTTCGCAGGGTATGGATGGATCTTCATCAAAATTAGTGCGGATATTCATTAGGTCTATGGGGAAATACATACAAATTTTTAGTTTTGCGGTTTTTATGGTCGTTTTCTACTACTACTTCGCCACTCGTTGACGGATCTTAACCAAATTTGGCATGAAGGTTTGTTTAGTTAATGGGGAGATACATATAAATTTGCGGTTTCACATTTTGTGTTTTGCAGTTTTTATGGGCGTTTTTTACAATTATATATAAAGGAAGCAACTTTTCATCTCCTAAGATAACCTTTAATTAATCATGAAGTCACATAACTTCAGCCCAGGAGACGGGTACTCTGGATAGTTTATAATACGTTTCTTACCTTCTTACTGAGGAAGATTAGAATGCATTTTTAATCCGCTGGGTACTCTCGCTGTTAACGATATTTTCGGCCATAATCTCAATAAGATTTCACAAGGTTTGGCCAGCTAAAGAAGTTTAGTTTAGTCCTAAATACATATATTAAGCTAACAACGCAAATCAAGCTTTATGATAAAATTATAATAGTAAACAAGAAACCAAAATATAAAATAATAACAGTTGATATGCTCATAGTAGAACAAATATTGTGAACAAATAGAAACTGTCTTCGTGTGGAAATCAAGATAGGAGGTTCGACACACTTCAAGTAGTTTCAGACTATTTGACTAAACAATCCGTGTGCTTTACTCAACAATTACACACCAGAAGCTAAGCTTGCAGTGACAACAAAGGTAGATGTACAAGATAATGTACACAATGTACATAAAGGACAACAGAGGAGAAGGTGGGTGACACAAACCAAAAGTAATTCACCATAATAATCTGTGGATGTATGTCAGCACGAGAATAGCCACCTGGTTACTTTTACAGAAGATATCTCCAGAGGTAAGTCAATCTGTTGAGGACCCCGAGGTTCCTGTCTAGATCACTTTCAGAGTATCACCATAATCATTTGTGGATGTATGTCAGCACGAGAATAGCCACCTGGTTACTTTTACAGAAGATATCTCCAGAGGTAAGTCAATCTGTTGAGGACCCCGAGGTTCCTGTCTAGATCACTTTCAGAGTATCACCATAATAATCTGTGGATGTATGTCAGCACGAGAATAGCCACCTGGTTACTTTTACAGAAGATATCTCCAGAGGTAAGTCAAGCTGTTGAGAACCCCGAGGTTCCTGACGAGATCACTTTCAGAGTATCACCAAGGATGGTGTCATCAGTGGATTTCCTCGATCTTCTACCTGAAGAGAAGTCCCCAGTGACAAAACAGCTAGTAGTAATAAAGATCAAGTTGGCCATATCATCTTCATACCAGAAGCCACGAAAAATAAAATCATCCAAAATATTTTTTGATGACTGCAATATTTGCATAAGTGGGCGAAGGAAGAATATTTTGTTTTATTAACCAAAATTCTGATAGTAGTTTGTTTCATACCTTTAATTAATAGTTTAATTATTGTAACGTTTATATTCATAAATGTTATGCTGCTTGTTTGTTTATAATTAAGCACAAAGCTACACAATGGGAATCGAAACCCGGTTTCTAGCGTTGTAAGTCCGCAGACATACCGCTGTGTCACGGGGGACGTTATGCTGTTGATTGTAAAGAGTTATTTTATAACTGATTGCGTAAGTTTAACATACCATTGTTTCGAATAAAGAGCTTCCCAATACAGGAATGGACAGTGATGTAGACAATATATATATGTTTTACATTTAGACGTTTATATTGTTGTTTGGCAAGTAGGTGGTTTGACGTAGCAGCTTAGTTCTGGCTTAATTACCAGGATATTCTATAAAGTTTAGAAAACAGTTTGGCAGTATCGAACGCGAGTTAAGCTAGAGTGGATTATTATGGATTATTGGGTCGTTTAGTAAGTGATATTGATTCTGCTGTAGGGAAATATTATTAGATGGACTTTGCATTCTTCGTTTTACTCCCCAAAATCCCGCCAACTATAGAAGCTGTTACAATACTATGTTATTGCAGTTAGTTTTTTGCTAATTAGCATGTAGTAGCTTTCACCTATAGCAATCAAACAATCGCGGAATGTTGCGTATCTATATTTATTTTTACAGGTTTCAGATACACATAATAAAATATATTTGCTTTCATACATATAATTTTAAATAAGTTGAATAACCATGCCAAAATAATCAAGTTAGGCCTTAGACATTGCTCTTTTTCTAATGTTAATAAACAAATTAACCTTATCTATATTCATTTTATAGCTAATGTTCAGATTTTAGGAAAACATAATAGGCCCTAAGTACATCGTAAACTATAAATTTATAGACAGTCCAATGAAGTATATATTATAGTAAAAACAAAAGGTCCTCAGACGAATTTAAATTTAGTCGAAGTGCTTTAACGAAATATTAGCAACTGGTTTCGCGAAGTGTCATTTTTCTTTTATGGATGTAAATACATATTCATAAATATATATTCACCTGATTTTTATATAGATTAGCAAGTAAAATGTTAGACAAATACATGATTTCTTGATTACTGTGCGGAATTATTCTGCTTTCACATAAACGTTTACATAATTAATTTGTCGGGTAAAAGAGCTACAAACCCTATCAATATCCTGTCAATGACTGACCTTGGTAACTGAAAAACCGAAAGTACACACGTTCTTTGCTAAATTGCGCTAACACGTTTTCCTGGAAGTAAAAGGATTTGAGTGAGGTGAACGGACGGTAAAAATAACTCACCAAGCCACATATCTTGTTTGTTTTTTTTCAGAAAAATTATGGCAAAGGGTTATTAAACTAAGACGATTTCAGGGAACGTCGAGTTTGTTCTCACGTGAATAGCAGCTCACTGAATCAAGACGTTATCATATAGTTTTCAATAAACACATAGAACGTCAATTTTATCAACTTTCCTGTAACAAGAAAGGGTAATTTTACTCTGAACCCTCTTTATTAAAAAGCTACAAAATTGGGAAATAAAGTGTCAAGGATATGTAAAGCCAAACCTCTAGCCAGAAAGTAAACGGTTAACTGTTTTTATTCCACAAGATTATTCTCTATTTTCTGATGAAAACAATAGTTTAGTCGATAAATGTTCTTACTAAACAATAACAAAAACACTGAGAACAACACTGAGTCAGGTAGTAATGATTTAAACTTTAAAAACTAAAAA